AAGTCCCAAGCGCGACTCGTCGTCGGTCGACTAGGACGCATCCGACGCACCACACGTACACCACTCTAGGGACGTAAAAGTTAAAACACGCACGCATACAGAACGGAACGACACAAGACAAACAACACGACAACACTCCTAATCCCTTAGTACCCATCTCATAACTCTTCGATGCGGAAATCGGATAGGCGTCATGCTCGAGACTTAGTATAAAACTGCGTGGACGCATGGTTTTCTCATATCGACTAGCAATGCATAAATACGCGAGCAGTCGCAATGATGGCGTACTATGTAATACTCATACTCATGAGGTGCTCGTTAATCTTGAGGGTCGCATTCGACACTCAAGTGTCGGCTGACACGCGCCTTGAGAGAATAATCTATCGACGTTGGACAACCGCCAAGTGCGGTTGAGAACCACACCCTCTTCTGCACCCTGCGGAGAGTGGGTGGTGTACAGGTTCATACCTGTGGTGACAATCGTCTCTTATCGCCCTGGAGACCAACTCTATCATCCAGGGTCTGAAAATAAGTCAAGGGGTTGGACTTTGATCGCTACCACGGACTACAACGTCTAACTAAAAAAATTAGTAAGCAAAATAAATCAGTAAATAAGTAAACACCCAACACTCATATATCAAATCAAAACTCGAGATAAGAAAGAGAAACATAAACCCATCAGGTATGCAGATCGTACGACACATGATTGTCATTCTCACTGCCTAAAGTATGGTACATATACCAAACTGCAAAATACTAACTTGCATAAAACACAGGTACACACAATAGCCACATTGCCATACACAAATGTGGTCAAATTTACTGTTCCTTGTAACTCACATCACGCCTCACACACTCAAGCCTCAATCATAGTTCAACTTTTCATAAATCTTATAAGTTCTTTATAATGGCTATTAAAAGAAATCCGGTTAAAAACCCTCAAAGAAACATATCAAATCTCAGGGCTAAGGTACAGGTGTAAGCAAAGTTGTGTCGTGTGCCAACGAGTCGACGATCAACCAACCGACCTGTTATCTGTGATAACATAAAATATCCTTGTAGGATCAAGCTGAAGTTAGTCCAAATCCTAGATCGAATGTGAAAAGAAGACCTGTATCGTACGACAGGTCAATGTCCAAAGTAAATTGTCAATGTATGGAGATCAAATCCCCATGACACGTTCTTACTCAAGACTCTCCTGATAGTCAAACCTAGGTCTACCTCTAAGCCAGTGCCCAAAGAAAGGTAGACCTATGGCAAAATCTCCCCCATATAGAGTGGTCGTCACCTGTCAAAATATAATTTATCTCCTATAAACTAAGAAAATTTTGGCAGCACTTTCCATAGAAAAAATATTTTTTCAAAATTTATATCAGCCTAAATATGAAAACAGAAATAATTTTCAACCTTCCAAAGTCAAATTTTGTCTAACTCCCTTAATTGGCAAAAATTTGGGCAGCACTCCCTTTAAAAAATGAGACTTCCCAGATTTTTACTAAGCCATATATAAAAATCAAACAAGTTGAACTTTTGAAAAGTCAAATTTTGACTAACTCATTGGATTTGCAGAAATTTCGGCAGCGCTTCCCGTAAAGAAAGTAGCTTACCAAAATTTATACAAAACTAAGTTCAAAATTTAAAATGACTTTGACTTCTCATGGTCCAATTTTATCTAAATTCATGAAGCAGCAAAAATTTGAGCGGCATTCCCATTAGAAAAGGAGGTTTCCCAGATTTTTACTAAGCCAAAAATAAGACAAACAAAATCTTGAAAAGACAAAATCTGACAAACTTCTTGGTTTTGTAGAAATTTTGGCAGGGTTTCCTGTAGAGAAAGTAGCTTACTAAGATTTATACAGAGCCAAGTATAATAAATAATCCCAGAAAATGCAGAAATTGACCTAAGTAAAAATAAACTTAACTCAGAAAATGCATGAATTGAAGTTAACTTCTACAGCTCTAGCACGTGACAAGCAACTAAAGCAACTACCTATGAAACTGAAACTCTGACTTAGTAGTCTCACTTAGTCATATGCAGGTCAAACCACAAAGGTAAGTACTCTCACTATTCCCAAAGTCAATCTTATCAAACAATAGTTCATGATCTTTCGATGATTTATCCCTTTATACCCAGCTTACATAGGGCATAAAGCTAGACCTTCCAAACTTATGGAACATGTCTAACTCAACCATTGAATATACTGCACCCTGCGAAGAGTGGGTGGTACACATGTTCATACCTGTGGTGGCAATCATCTCTTATCGCCTTGGAAACCAACTCTATTATACAGGGTCTGGAAAGAAGTCAAGGGGTTTGACTTTGACGACTGCCACGGACTACAACATCCAACTATAAAAAATAATAAGCAAAATCAATCAGTAAATAAGTAAACACCCAACACTCATCAGGAACGAAAAAGAAACATACACGACTAAGTACTCCAGAATATCACGGAATTTCTGCAGGTATAACGACGTAACAGTGTCGCTCACATTTCCAAACATACGAGACAGATAGAAGATCAAAGACTTAAAGCAGGGGAAACGAACCAATTAAGGAAAAATACTCACATGCACAGAATCATTAGATATGATGAAAGTAGCTCCAGATTGAAGGCATGTTGAAAATCGATGACGACAAAGACAACACAGAGAACGACTGCGGAGATCCTTAGGATAGATGATGAGTACACTGCAAGGATAGGGAAAGTGGCGGAAAAGGACTGGGAACGAAGGGTATAAATACTGAGGATAGTGGCTGGAATAAATGATGTACAATTTTTTTTTTTTTTATACCGACAATCATACAAGTATCTCTCAAATTCTCAATCAAGAAACTCAAGCATCTCTCAAATAAGAAGAAAATAATGCTAAACTCTTCAAAATCACAGATTGAAGTTCGAACCCAGGTTGAAAAAATGGTACAATGCTCACGGGAACCCCCCTTTCGAAACTCCGATGAAAAATTTCTGGCCTCGAAGCGGCCCATTGGTACCGGCCGGTACCGGTTGTGGACAATTTCTGGCCCGTATACCGGGCAGGTACCCCGCGCGTGGCAGCCAGTAACGAACTTTCTCAGTTTTGGGAGGCGGCGCCAGAAAGAAACCCCGCCCCGAGAGAGAGGGAGAGAGAGAGAGAGAACTCTCTACTGGCTATTTAGGCTGTCAACTCTCTATGGTACTAGCACATTCACACTCATCACACGCACTTAGCACACACACACACGCACATACACACACCCATATAGTCGCACGCACACTCATCATATGCGCACGTGCGTACATTTTCGAGCGCGGTTCGTGCGGATTTGTGATCTCGAAACTCTTGTTGGAGGTTGGGCTCGTCATCGTGAAGGTCGAGGACGCTGAGGATTGGGCTGTTCATTGCGTGGGGACGACCATTGCGTGGAGACGACCGGGCCACCGTAAATGAAGGTGAATCCGTGCATGTCCGTGCATGTGCTCAGGTTTTCTTCCTTTTCGGTTCATTTTCTGCTCTTTAAGTTTTAGGTTCTGTCGTTTCTTCGATCGATGCCACGTCGTCTGTGTGTGCAAAAGCACCAGCGGGGCGCGCGCGCGCGCGCGAGAGAGAGAGAGAGAAGAAATAGCCTGAGGAGGAGGAAGTTGCAAAGGAAAGAACGGTCCATGGATGCCACGTCGATCGAACGAACGCGCGTGCGTGCGAGAGAGAGAAGTTGGGGGGGCCAGGAGGATGACGAGGAAAAGTATGATTCATGCATGTCATTTCCGAAGGGAACATGTTAATCTTCTCTGTATCGATCTAAGTTTGACGGATGAGGAAAAAAAGAGTTTGTGTGTGTGTGTGTGTGTGTGTGTGTGTGTGTGTGTGTGTGTTAGAGAGAGAGAGAGAGAGAGAGAGAGAG